TGATCCCACTCCCCCTTCCCCCAGTTCGTATCCGACCCCACTCTCCCCACCTTCTCCCCAGTTCAGGTCTGACCCTTCTCCCCCTCCCACTTCCCCTCTGCTTCAGGTCTGATCCCACTCCCCTCCCCCCAGTTCAGGTCTGACCCTGCCCCAACCCCATCCACCCCAGTTTGAGTCCCAACCATGCTCCACCCCTCTCCCACCATCCAGGTCTGACCCCACCCCACCCTCTCCCCCAATTCAAGTCTGACACCTCCTCTCCTCCCCCTTTGGGTCCAACCCTGCTACGATGGAGGCGCTCCCGCCTTTCCTCAGCTGGCCCCACCACTTTTAAAGTGCTCTACCCATTTTTATTTTTTTTTGCCTCTGTGGAGGTGGGGCAGAGAGAGCCGCTGCACTGGAGGCTGCAAGAGGACACAGCCCTGGCAAAGGGGCTCCCATTTTAACTCAACTGGCCCCACCCCTGCCTACCTGGCCCACTCACCCAATCGGTGCATGTGCAGTTGGGCAAAAGCATTACGGATAGACAGACAGACAGACATAGGAGTTTCTGCTCCATAGGAAACAGGAAAGCAAGCTAGAAGGGCAGCAGATTTCTCAATGAGCCACAAATTCTTTGCATGACCCACATCTATTCTGCTCATGGCTGCCGGTGGGCCAACTTCACAATCCAGTGATACTGCTACAGGTCTTGTACCACATATAGAGACTAAAACATATTTGTTCTTAATTTAAGCAAATTAATTAAGCCCTAACAATTACAATTATAAATCAAAAAGCTAAAATAGCCTTAGCAGTTACAATTCTATTACTGTAGTTAGTCAAAAGCAATACAACATGCTCATCACCCCAAGGTTTAACGAACGCGCCATCACTGGATGGCCAGTCCATGAGGTCTTGTCCAGGGATCCAAACTCCTTTGTCTGAGTTCTGAATCTTGGATCGGTGGCAGGATCTTTCAGTGTCACAACCCAAGGGTGTGATTTTTGTGTGTGCGCGCTTCGGCACTGCTAAATTATTTCCCGCCATGAGGAGCTTTCTTTGCAGGGTGCATTTCTCAGTTGCAAAGAGAGAAATGCACGGTGAAAAGAAGTTCCCGCCATCCGCATGCAAATTTGTGTCCCACTATTGGCCAGTTCTAAATTATTCCCACGTGGCGGCTAGCGATGGGCGTGCTAGCCGTATAAGAGGCTTGAGCGGTTTCCGCCCAAGTTGGAGAACTCCGAGGAGAACCCCGCAAGGGACGGGCGATTCTCCTCCGCTACCATCTTGAGGAGATCACTAAGTGCGCTGCGGAGCTTAACAAACCCCGTGTGTGCGTTAGAGGAGGATACAGGGGCCTGATCAACCTCTAGCCTCTCCCCGTCACCACCAGATCCCTTGACGTACCCTTCCCTGCGCGCTTTCGTGGAGAGTCACCTTTTGGACTCTCATCGTGGTATCCAGAGCTCTGTCCGGGTTCGAGTCCTGCAGGTTTATTTTCCTGTCGCCGAGAACCCCTTGCGACCTACCCTCGTGTCTTGCATCTTCCCGTTGCCGAAAACCCCTTACGACGTACCCTTGTGCCCTGCAGGTTTGAGTTTTGTTTTGTTTCGTTTTGTAACTGCAACGCAAGCAAGTTTTCCTGCCTGCACCGCGACCATCTACGGTGTAAGTAAAATAATCTTTAATCAACCGCTACGCGTCCGTGCCTAATTCTAGTCCGCCGCCGGCCTGCATTCCCCGACCCGCGTGCCAGGGCTGCTGGCCACAGCCCGCCGTGCGCCCCCGAGGGCCTCGGACCGCTCCTGGCCCGCACATTCAGGAGTAGGATCCGAAGGGTACGCTTTCTCAACTCTCTTTATATACCATACTAGCCAACTGCCCGTCATGAATGATGGATTTCAAAGAAGTGTTTACAAGACCAGTCCCGAAGGGTGGCTCTGCCCATTCTGTTGCACCTCACTGCCAAGCCGCAGCACCCCCAGCCCTCCTGCTGCCCCTCACTCCCAACCCACTGATCCCAGCCCTGCCAGTGCCCCTCACTTACCAAGCTGCAGTACCCTGCTGCCCTGGGCCATGATGGTGCCACTCACTCCTGACCCGCAGCACTGCCCCCCCCCCCCCCCCCCCCCCCCAATCCCTGCTGGTGCCCCTCGACTTCTGCAGGAGGTGTTATGGTACATCTCCAACAATTTGAGGTGTCTCTGGTATGTTGTCCACATCTCAGCTCCATACAGTACAGTGGAAATCACAATTGCTTGATCCGAAACCACGAGCTTAGTTTCAGATCTGGTGTTGCAATCTCCAAACACTTGTTTCCTTAAGTGTCCAAAGGCTGCACTTGCACTTTTAAGGTGATGTTGGATATTTCTGTTAATGTCAGCTTTGTGCAAGAGATGGCTTCTGAGGTATGGGAAATAGTGTTCTCCAGAGTCTCACTGTAGATCTGAATTTCTGGAGCTGGGGACTGATCATTAAGAGCTTGCTGATGGAGGACCATAGGCTTCTAAATGTTAAGTGTCATTCCCATTTTCTTGGATGCCTTGGTAAATACGTCAGTGATTGCCTGAAGATCTGCTTCCAAGTGAGCACACACTACAGCATCATCAGTGTACTGGAACTCAATGATTGAAATCAGGATG